CGGCAAGAGTGGCTGGAAAGCTGCCTGGCAGAAAAGGAACTGGGGGTGTTAGTCAACAGCCCGCTGAATATGAGCGGGCAGTGTGCCCACGTGGCCAAGAAGGCAAATATCATCCTGGCTTGTATCAGAAATGGTGTGTCTGGCAGGACCAGGGAAGTGATTATCCCCCTGTACTCAGCACTGGTGAGGCCACACCTTGAGTACTGTGTTCAGTGTTGGGCCTCTCACTGCAAGAAAGACATCGAGGTGCTGGAGCATTTCCAAGGAAGGGCGACAAATCTGGTGAAGGGTCTAGAGCACAAGTCCTGTGAGGAGCAGCTGAGGGAACTGGAGTTGTTTAGCCTGGAGAAGAGGAGGCTGAGGGAAGTCCTTATCGCTCTCTACAACTACCTGAAAGGAGATTGTAGCAAGGTGCGTGTTGTTCTCTTCTCCCAAATAACAAGTGATAGAGCAAGAGGAAACAGCCTCAATTTGTGTCAGGGGAGGTTTAGATTGGATATTAGGAAAAATTTCTTCACCAAAAGCATTGTCAAGAATTGGAACAGGCTGCCCAGGGAAGCGGTTGAGTCACCATCCTTGGAGGTATCTAAGAGACATGTAGATGTGGCACTTAGGGGCATGGTTTAGTGGTGGTCTTGACAGTGCTAGGGTTGGACTCTGATCTTAAAGAACCTAAACGATTCTATGACTCTAAGTCCCATGGGGCCTGATGGGTTGCACTGAGTGCTGAGAGAGCTGGCTGATGTCATTGTGAGACCACTCTTATCTTTGAAAGGTCATGGCGACTGGGAGAGGTTCCTGAAGACTGGAAGAGAGCAAATGTCACTCCTGTCTTCAAGGACAGAAGGAAGGAAGATCTGGGGAACTACAGGCCGGTCAGCCTCACCTCAGTCCCTGGGAAGGTGATGGCAAGAATCCTCCTGGAAAGCATTTTCAAACATATGAAGGACAAGATGGTGATTAGGAGCATGGATTCATGAAGGGCAAATCATGCTTAATCAACCTAATAGCCTTCTGCAATGAGGTCACTAGCTTGGTGGATGAGGAGAGAGCAGTGGATGTTGTTCACCTCAACTTTAGTAAGGCTTTTGGTGCTGTTTCCCGCAACATCCTCATAGATGAGCTAACAAAGTGCAGATTAGATAAATGAACGGTGAGGTAGATTGAAAACCAACTGAACATTCAGGCCCAGAGAGTTGTGATCAGCAGCACAAAGTCTAGTTGGAGGCACATCACAAGTGGTGTACCACAGGGATAATTACTGAGGCCAGTACTGTTTTAACATTTTCATTCATGACCTAGACAATGGGACAGTGTGCACCCTCAGCAAGTACACAGATGATACAAAACTGTGAGGAGTAGTGGTACACCAGATGGGCGTGCTGCCATTCACAGGGACCCGGACAGGCTGGAGAATTAAGCAGAGGGGAATGTCTTGAGGCTCATCAAGGAGAAACGTGAAGTCCTGCAGCTGGGCGGGAATAACCCTATGTACCAGCATATGCTGGGGGCTAACTTTCTGGAAACCAACTCTGCAGACAGGGACCTTGGGGTCCTGGAGGACAGCAAGCTGACCATGATCCAGCAACACATTCTTGTGGCAAAGGCAGCCAACAGCATTCTGAGCTACTTTAAGAGCATTGCCAGCAGGTTGAGGGAGGTGATCCTTCCTTTCTGCTCAGCACTGGTGAGGCCACACCTGGAGTACTGTGTCCAATTCACGTTCCCCAATACGAGAGAGGCGTGGACATACTGGAGAGAGTCTTGTGCAGGGCTGCAAAGATGATTGAGGCACTGAGATATTTTTTCTGAGGACAGGCTGAGAGAGCTGCGACTCTTCAGTCTGGAGAAGAGAAGGCTCAGGGGGAATCTTATCTTTGTGTATAGATAATTGATGCGAGAGAATGAAGAAAAGGGAGCCAGACTCTTCTCTATAGTGCTCAGTGACAGGACAAGAGACAATGGGCACAAATTGAAACACACAAAATATTCTAAAGAATACACTTTTTTTTACTGTCAAGGTGGTCAATGCTTGGCACAGGTTGCCCAAAGAGGTTGTGGAGTCTCCATCAGTGGAGATACTCAAAACTTGGCTGGACACGTTCTTCGGCAACCTACTCTAGCTGACCCTGCTTGAACACAGGGACTGGACGAGGTGATCTCAGGAGGTCCCTTCCAACCTTAATGTTTTTGTGATTTCCGTGAAACAGAAAAAATATAGAATGATGGTTCACAATCTGACTTAAGTTCAATTCTAACTGTTATCACCAAGGACTTGGAAGTATGTAGACAGCACAAAGCTGAAAGAGATGGCAAGTGTGTTGGAGAAAAGACTTAAATTGAAAGTGGTCTTGACATTAGAGGAACAGTTTAAAAATAGAATGGAATGCAGTGTGTAAAATTAAAGATACTGCAGGTAGGAAGAAATATTAGCACAGCTGAAAGAGAAAGAACAACCTCTCCTAGGTGTCACTTCCTCAGAAGAGGATTTGAGATTTATAACAGATTAAAAGCCAAATAGGGACCAACAGTGTCATACTTGTTTTTAAAAAGGCATATGTTATACTGAGGTCTTTGAG